GAACAGCTGCTGCGATCACCCATAGCTGCAGCACCCCCCGACGTGTGGGCAGCAGACCAGTATGCCACCTCATCCATAAATGCCCAGAAATGGTTCAGAGATAACCTGAGCGGAGCGCATGCATGCATCTTCTACATTCATTCACGATTCATCGGATTTTTTGCAAAGCCACGATCGACGCGCGAGCAGCACACGCGCCTACGTACAGTAGCCCGCCCGCGCGCGCGCACGATCCACTCGACTCTCGACTTACGAGTACCTACAGGCGAGATCGAGTGTCGACTCATCAATGCCACCACGAACAATGCCGACATGCATGCATGCCTTTAGCTGTGACTCTCCATGCGCTGGTGCTCATAGCTGGAACAAGTCGTGAGCAGGCCAGGCCTCCACGTCGAAGAGCAAGCAAGCAAGCAGCTTTGGACGCTCTAGCGTAGCGCCCTCCCACGTACCCGTGCTACCTGCTGCTACCTGCTACCTGCTCCACACGTACAGGCGATTCGTGATTCGACGAGCGCGAGTCAGAGTAGAGTGTAGTGTAGCCATATCGCATCGGCAAAGGACGAGTGAGCGCAAGCCACAGCCACAGCATGCATGCTGAGGGATGCGCGCTCGCACAAATAGCTGCACAACAGGACAGTAGTGTGAGTGTGAGTGTGAGTCCAAGGTGTGAGCCAGCGTAGGTTTCTGCGGAGTCAAGAAGAGTCACGAGTCCACCAGGCCCCCGTGCCTGCCACATTATTCTCTTGGCCCTGCATGCAGCAAGCAAGCAGATGCGAGATAAGGAAAACAAATGCGTAAAATGTGAAATCGAATCGTGAATCTTTTGGGCGAAAAAGTCGTGATGAGGTAGGTGTGATGAGCTATGCTGGCTGGTTGCGAGGGCAGCACGCCGCCGCTGACTTGCGATTCTTGTCTTGTCCCTTCTTGTTCTTCTTCTTTTTTGCCTTTCCCAGTCCCGCCTTGGCCAGCCCGGCTAGCAAGCGAGCGCACTGTGGAAGGAGGCCGAGCAGTCAAAAGTATGAGCAGATAGGCACATGGTCGTGAGTCGGTGCATGAGGCATGAATTGCAGAGAGCCGAGAAAAGAGTTGGACGGGTGGGGGGGAGGAGGG